CTCCTTGAAATCTCCTTGAAATCTCCTTGAAATCTCCTTGAAATCTCCTTGAAATCTCCTTGAAATCTCCTTGAAATCTCCTTGAAATCTCCTTGTTCTGTGGCCCCTACCCCAGACCCAGCCCTGTGGCTAACACTGGACCAAGTGCTGTGTCCTGACCTTACACCTGACCCTGGGTCTTACTTTACACTAATCTTTAATTACGAAAAAACTGATGTTAAGGGACTTGCTGTTAATCCTTTTAATTCCTCAATCCCTGTTAATCCTTGTTAATCCCTGTTTGTCCCTTAATCCCTTCTATTCCCTTCATCTCTGTTAGTCCTCCTTGATCCATTAACCCTTGTTAATCCTTAATCATTTTTAATTCTCTTTAATTCATTAATCTCTTTTAATCCTATAAGTAACTGCATCTACTTTAAGAAAGAACTGCAGGGCTTCACCCCACACACCCCAGTTTTACGGTGTGAAATGCTGTCTTTGGTGCAGAACAGCAAAAAAATGGAACAATTGAAACTGATGGTAGGACAGCTAAGGGTAGCTATCAAAATTAGAAGAATGAAACGATAGGTGAGGAACATAAGATGCCTCTGTAACTTGCATTGGATATTTGGGGAATTTTATTGCGAGCTAATGTTAGAAATAGATGCAAATTTGGAGGACCACAGAGAAGAATGGATCAGGGGGCTGGGACTCTTGTGTTGTGTGATTAAAAGTGAGCTGTAACAATTCTGTTTGCTTGAATACCCACAGGTGGAAGTTTACAAGCATTTCTTCTAAATCAGAAATGAGGAACAAGGCCTGCCGGCAGAGAGACTTTATGTCCAGATTCAAGAGGCATTTTCCAGAAGTGCTATTTTGTTCAAACTCTTCTCATCCTTGTGCTCTGGTTTTCCCTTTGAAAGTACTTTGAAATATATGATGGCTGAAGCATTTAAAATGAGAAGGATGGCTGTGCAAGTGTGGTTTGTTTTTTTCTACATAACTACAGTAATGTTCTACCTAGTTTTCCACATTACCATATAAGTACTTGAGAATACCTAGAAGCTAGAAAAGAATAGTAGAGTGAACGATTAGTAAGAATGTGATGGAGCTAACTATGAACTGTAAATAGGGAATGAGGCAGAAATAGACATTGTAGATGAGAAAAATCAAGGAGCTGGAAAACTATTGTTCTTCAACATTTCAGAGGACAGTAGTACACCAAGAAAGCTGTAATTAGAATTGTATGTGAAGAATGTGAGGTCATTTTTATGTTCTAAAATCTACAGCAAATGAAATAAGGCTTTTGATAAAAGTAGAATACTGGCAAAGGCAATTTAATATGCCAATTGGGTTTAACCTGGAGAGTGATAAAGGTGGCTTGGAATACTTTTATTTAGTAATTTCAACTTAGTGATTTTGAAACTCTTTTGCGTTTTCCTTTACTATTAATGCTGATTTTGAGTTTTGGCTGTGAAGATGATGTTTCTAGTTCAGTTTTGTGTGGCTTAGCAGTAATGACTTCTTAGACCCTTTATCATTGGCTTCTGTATGTAGTTGGCTAAATTTTGTACTTTACATAGCCTGAAAAGAATTCCGTAGCCTGTGATAAGTTTCTGAATTTCATGGCATCAGGTGGCCACTTAAGATGCCTTAAGGACTCAGGAGAAGTATTTTTTTGCATTCATTGCTGGCAGCATAAACTACAGGCATCCTAAGATACTTCTTAAATTAGGTAAGTAAATTATTAGCACTGGAACTTGGAGAAAATGTCCTCTAACACTACTGCTAGTGTTAGAGGATATATATTAATGCACTGTTTGAAATACTGTCTTCAAGGGGAAAAAATATCAACAATTCTTCCAGCAAAAAGGCTTAATCACACATCAGCACAGCATGGAAGTAGGTATCTGCAGGCCTAGGAGCAAACCTAGGGACTGTAGTATCCTGTTGTGCGGATACAGTTTCACTTCACTGACAGAGCTGAGCTCTCCAAATTCTAATAAATGATGAGAATAAAAAGCAGGAAATAAAATAGACCAGATACGGCTAGTACATGAGTTGGCAAATGGAGCAATTAAAAAATGCATCCTGGAATTACTACTTCCAGTCTATCTTTTTTTGTATGGTCCCTACGTATGTTAGAAGGACATTTTCTCTAATTTGAAAAGCCAATATTATTTAATAGTTATAGTACTTCTGTGTAATATTTCAGATTGCATAAGCACAGTATAACAGGATGTGTGCCTGTTACGGCAGATTTTGTGCCTGTACATTCCAAGAGTGTTTTTTCCCCAGAGAATATAAATTGGAAATAGAATGGGCAAGTGAAGGATGAGAGGACATGATTTTTATATCCACTCTTCTAATGGGAAGCCGAAATACAGAGGAAGGTGAGTTACTTGCTCTGCAAATGTGTAGTCTGTCAGTTATTCGCCCAGGGAGCAGATAAAAATTTAGAATTAAAATTAGGTCTCTTGAATCCCTGAGCATACCTTAAAAATAAAATCGTCTGTCTTTGACTTGCCATTAATCTTGTGCTTTCTACATGTTTTCAGTTTAAATATTCAACCAGAAACAAAGAACAGCAGGGGTTGCAAAGTCAGTACTTTTCATCTTTTTTTGTACCGCGATGTTTTAGACTCTAAGTTATCAGAGGACTATTAGTAGCTGTGTTGGGTCTCTGGAAGTTGGTTGGAATGTAATGCTGAAGAAGTCCTTTTGGAAGAGGGCTTACTATTTACCTTTTAATTATTGTCAACATAGGAAAAAGCTGTTGATAAATTTCACTTTTAGGTCACTTTAGCAAAAGTTCCCTCTGGGCCATCACCCTGTAGGATATGACAGGACCACTGTGTCCTTGGAGACCCTCTGGCCTCAAGGAATTGTGAAATGTTCTGAAATGTCTCTCAATGCTGTGGAAAGATCTGCAAACCAAAAAGCCTTTTTTTTAATTGGAGAAAAGGCTTCTGAGTAAATATAGCTCCTTTGAGTGGATTTCACTTCACCTAAAAAAGATGATAAGTATTTGTTGTTTTTTGAGAAGAACAGAGGTATATTGTTGTTATAGCAATATTTTAGCTGAGAGCTCTTGGCAAAATAACCTTTTGGGTTATTGCGTAGCGTAGCCCAGAACTCTGCTTACAGATATCCACAAAATATCTGCGTAGTTACAGTGAACAGGAACACAGTTTCAGCCCCTGGAAAGTCTGCTTTTTTAGTACTCACCCTTTCTGTCTTTTTGGTTTCCTTCCCTACCGCTTGCTATTGGCACACATTTCAAGCTGGATTCAAAAAAATCTATTGATGTTAGTATGAGACTTGAAATGAACTTTAGTCCATTTGTACCTTGACTTTATTAAGGAGTTGTATACAAACACCCTCTTGATAATATGGTTAATTTTGATGGAAAGCCTTAAACAGAAAACTGTCAAACGTTTTCAAGGTATCTTTCAGAGACCTGTTAATTTTTGTCATAGGCCATTAATGTTTTCATACATGACTTGAAATAAATCAAGTCATTTAACTTCATTGAAGATGTTTGCAGGTGTCACACTGGAGAAGCATTAATTTATGAAGGGACTAGGTTATGGATGCTGAGGAATCTGAATTATATGGTAACCTAAATGCAAATAAAGATGCTTTTTACTACAGTCACTTTTCTGTCTTTGTACAGAGCAGAGGTTGCTACTGGAGTGGAAAGCTTCTGCGAAGAAGTTGAAAATCACAAATGGTGAGCAAAAGGGTAGTGCTCTATTAAAGTAATGCAGTGCTTACAGGTGGAGCTTATTGAGGAAAGCTAGGGAAGTTACGCTATTTTTGTATATCATGGTGATGAGAATATGGGAATAGCAAAATATGTCACATTTTAGTCTATTTAGTTTCACAAATTTAATTAGTGCTTCAATCATTGGCTTTAATTATTTTCAGAGGGAACAAAACATGTACCTGAAAGAGCAGTTCAATTAGCAGACAAAAGTAGAAGATCCAGTAAAAGTAAATGGAATCTAAGGCCTTTTGGAGGAGAAATTAGAGGGCTTTTTTGCAACACTAAGTTTAGTAGTTAACTATCTGACCAAATAGAGACAGCTGCAGTAAAGACTTCACTTATGAAAAATACTCTATCAATCTCTAAATCATGACTATTTTACCTGAACTTCAAAACCTATGGCAAAGTTGTCTTCTGGCTTTGTTTAAATTGTTATTGATTCTGTGGAGCTTGTAATAACAGTTACTACATATTAAATAGTCCTGGAAGTGAATCGGTATGATGAAATGGAGAGGGGAATAATGCGGACAGCTCCTTTAAAGGGTAATTGCAAGTAAATCAATAACTAATGGTCCTTGAATGGGTTTACTGGTTTGTTTTAGTGATATGGGAACCTTTGTAAATGCTATGTGCTTATAAGAGATAAAACAGATGACTGGGATGATTACCACACAAACATCAGGATATGTGAAAAGCTAACACTAGACTGGCAATATAAATATTGTTTTTGAGATTTCTGACTGACTGTACCCTAAAAGTGGATTGCTATTTTAAGGGGATATGGGACTTGTTTTTTAGTAGTGGTAAAGCTAATAAGAAAGCAAAATGAAAACATTTTTAATGGTAGCTTAAGTATTTAGATATTACCAGTGAGAAGAGACTTCAGGAGATAAAGATAGTTTTCTTCCTATTAACAGTGCGAAATAGGGACATCTCAAACTATCCAGAAAAGACCTGAGCACTTGGTTATAGTAGAAGTGTTAGAAGTTAAATCAGAATGAATTCGGATGACCTGTCCTTTAGAATGCCCATAAGTGTGAGTCAATGATCCTGTACAATGGAGATGTTGTGGAGCTAGGAGGCTCATTGAAGCCTATGGCTTATTCTCAATGCTGTACGTGTATATTTTAGGATATTCATTGCGTAATGTGAACAATTTGAGAGCAGCAGGCTGATTGTTGCTAACTTAAATCTTGGGGGTTTCGAACTGATTTTTATCTGTTGTAATGAAATAATTTGTGTTTGAAGTGTAGATTTGATAGAGTGCTTTAATAAAAAAGATATGGTATCTGATACATATATCCATAGTCATGGTCTGGTGCATTTTAATTTACCTAGGTTTGAACATGTGACATGCAACTGTTTATTCATGCTTCTTTTACAAGGAATGAAAAACAAATAAGAACTCATTTGAAGGAAACTCCTGAAATTGTTAATAGAATGTATGATAGAACCTGTGTAATAGACAGAACTTATTGCCTTGAGCAGTGATTTTTTTCCCTCATATATTAAGTCCTGATACTGCTGCCTTTCAGTATGCGAAAAAGTTGAAATAACTTGTTGTCCGTCTGTCATATAATCAGAATTACTACTTGAATGTGCCCAACATATGGACTGTTCAGCATATATTGCAGTAACTTAGTATCTCTGGAGTTTAATTCTACTGTAAGCAAAATTTAAAACTACAAAATAAAATTATATTTGGTAGAACTTGATATATTTCACTGTGGCCTTTTCATTTTACCATTAATGGTAAATGTAGTAGTAGTTATCAGTATAGGCGTCTTTTAAGGAAGAGACATAGAGTATCTTGCCTCTATATAAATAGCAGATATTGTGAATTTGTGAAGTGCTGTGAGAACCTACGCATCCTAATGCGTGCCTTGTCTCTTCATAATTTATTGCAGTATTTTCATGAATGCTTTATGCTTCCCCTTGGCAAGTGACTGGGATGAGTTTTGTGACAGCATTTTCACTTGTTTACATGAAAATGAACATGTGCAACTGTTGTACGTTTATGATGCATGAACGTAGATTTTGTACCTTCCATAGGTTTGACTGTGTAACAGGTAATACTACTTGGGAAACTGGAGCACATCCTGTCTTTAGGATGGGGTGATGCTATGACAGTGAGAATCATGTTAACATGTTCAGGATCAATACAAGTAAAATACTACAGAATTTATGCTTTCATGTGTGATAGATTTTACATTGGTAATTCCTGCTTGTCATAACCAAGATGCATCTGTACCTGTGTCTTGTAATTTTATAGTTGCAATATTGAATTGTTTGACTTTCAGTGTGTGTATATCATATTCTCACCATAAAAGAGTAGTAAATTAAGAAAAGAAGGCTACGTGGTATGTTCAGTTATGGCTTCATAACTCAAATTAACATTCAAAATTAATGGTGTATTCGGGTATTACAAACACAGCGATTCCTTGCTCACATTATGGGCGTAGCAGAGATCACTGCTTATCCTGTATTCATTAGCAAACTAGATAAAGTTGGCAAAGGAAGTGGCTACAAGTATGAGGTGCAAATTGTTACGTATTCGAACAAATATAACCTTTTGAGTAACATTGTTCAGTATTTTAATGGATGTTATGGACAGATATTGACTTGGTTTTTAACCATTGAAGGTTTTGGCTGAAAACTGTCTGGATGAGGCTCATGGGTTTGAATGGAAGCCTTTGTGGAAGTGGAATGATACTCAGTTATTTAAAAAAAAAAAAAAAAAAAAAAAAAGCCTGTTGATTTAGGCATATCCCAAGG